CTCAGTTTGTGAAAATCCGGCCGGAGGCTGTTCCCTTTGTGACGTCATAACTCCGTGACCTGACATGACCCGGTCAAATTTTTTTTTTTATCAAAAGATGCGCAAGGTTTGCCCCATAAGGTACCCAAAATTTGGCGGCGCTGCGCGCCGCCGTTTTTGCACTATTTCCGAAAAACCTCAGGGGGGGTTGCACCAACCCCCCCTACATGGGCGAGGGTTAATACAAACGATGCTAGGGAGGTGAGCCAGCATGGGGCCCACCTAGGGCCCACATCTGCTGGCCCACGTGGACCCCATATGGTACCCACCTTGAGCCCATGTGGGCCAGCCCAGGTGGGCCACATATGGTGCCCATCTTGAGCCCATGTGGGCCAGCCCAGGTGGGCCCCATATGGTACCCACCTTGAGCCCACGTGGGCCAGCCCAGGTGGGCCCCACCATTTACCCAGGGACAAATTTATGTGGGCCCCACATGGGCTGCCCACATGGGTCCCACCAAGTGGCCCACCTGGGCCCCATGTGGGGCCAAGGTAATAATGTTGGCTGGGTATGGGTCCCAGCTGGGTCCCATTTCGAACCCACATGGGCTCCAGGTGGGATTTTTCGCTTATACCCATTTGGGTCCCGGCTGGGAAAGCCCATATGGGACCCGGCTGGGCCCCATATGGATCCCATGTCGAACGCACATGGGCCCCATGTGGGATTTTTCGCTTATACCCATGTGGGTCCCGGCTGGGAAAGCCCATGTGGGACCCATATGTGCCCCGGCTGGGCCCCATTTGGGTCCCATTTCGAACCCACATGGGCCCCATGTGGGATTTTTCGCTTATATCCATGTGGGTCCCGGCTGGGAAAGCCCATGTGGGACCCATATGTGCCCCGGCTGGGCCCCATATGGGTCCCATTTCGAACCCACATGAGCCCCATGTGGGATTTTTCGCTTATACCCATGTGGGTCCCGGCTGGGAAAGCCCATGTGGGACCCATATGTGCCCCGGCTGGGCCCCATATGGGTCCCATTTCGAACCCACATGGGCCCCATGTGGGATTCTTCAATTATACCCATGTGGGTCCCGGCTGGGAAAGCCCATGTGGGACCCATATGTACCCCGGCTGGGCCCCATATGGGGCCATCTGGGCTGCCCATATGGGACCCAGTTGGACGCCCATGACAAACACATCTGGGCCCCAAGTGGGCAGCCCAGATGGGCCCCAGTTTGCTGCCCACTTGGGGCCCATATGGGCCCCATTTGGGAAGGCTGGCTGGGTAATGGGGAGGTCGCAAAATTGACCTGACCTTAGGTCACCGATATCAAAATTCTGAGATATACATTTTATAGATGCTGTTACCCTCATCAATCGCTGAAAGTTTCAAAGCGATCGGTCACTCGGTGTAGCAATGGCAGACATGGAAACTTTTTATGAGGTGAGGTCACTTCAAGTGACCTGGCGATCTGACCTTGAATGACCTTGGTCTGAAATTTTCACAAAATGTGTAAAATTGATGTATGATAAGGTGTACCCAAAAAACGGCGGCGTTCCGCGCCGCCGTTTTTTGAGATATTTGCGAAAAACCACAAGGGGGTGTTCAACCCCCCCCCCAGCAGGGCGCGGGTTAAAATTTCCAACACATCATCATGGCCGTATAAGGTCGCACATCATAAGCATTGGGTTGAGCGTTTTGCCCGTCGTCACTGCCCCACCCCGACCTGTCATGGTCAGCAGTAATGTCTTACTGGCGTCGTTGCGGCGCGTCTGTTAGAGGAAGGGGTCGGGGAGAGTGGGCGGTTGTGAGTGCAGCAGTGCAGGCCATCTCGTGTCCACTGCGTGTGCGGGGTTTACTGGCCAGTCGCGCGGCGCAGTCTGGCGGCGATCACGTTGGCTGAGCGTGGGACGCCGCTGCAGGCGCCGCCCGACCCGCCGCGCTGCCGGCCGGAACACGGCCCAGGCGCCGCGCTGCCGACCACGTGCACAGCGCAAACGAGCACCAGCCGCGCAGGCTTTCCGCTAGTTGCTTACATCTGACATTTTCGTTTTTCTTTGCCTTGGGCTAGGTCGGTACCAAGCCTTGAACTCTTTTTTTAACACTTTTTTCGTGGTTGTCGCCGTGGCAGTACAAACCTAAAATTAACCCGCGCCCTGGTAAGGGGCTATTTTTGCCCCCCCCCTTCAGTCTTTTCGCGTTATCTCTAAAACTACTGCGCCGATCGTCGCGAAACTTCCAGTACGCTCTCTCTCTCTCGTACATCCCTTTTACACCTTGTGTCCAAAAATTGGTTCAGCATCCATGATGGGCTGTCCACAAATGATGTCAGAAAGGCGTCATCTTTAGCCATTTTCGACCCAAAAAAGGTTTTGCGGGAATATCTACCATGCCCACAGTTTTGAAGAAAGAGAAAAGTGGTCCAAATAAAAAAAAGATGTAAAATGAACGAGGTTACAAAATTGCTATCTTTTTGTGGGTGTGACCTCTAAAATTCAAAAAGCGATTTGTTTGCAATGATCCCTAAAATGCCAACATTTTCAAAATTTCGAGAAAAAAAAAAACATTTTATAGAACTATTATTCTGCTATCGATTTGCCAAGTTTGGGCTCGGTAACGCTATTTTTTTGTAAAGTTTTGGCCAAAAAACCTGCTCAAAATTGATGACCTCTAATATTCAAAATGAAATTTTAATCGTTATACGAGGTGGTATCGAAAAGTTCTGATCATCATCATGAATTAAATATGACAGAATTTGAATTTTTACATGATGTTCTTCACTCCTCACAAGTCACCACACACGACTACAAACTTCTTCCATAGTTTCTTAAGCTGCCTCAGGCCGTCATTGTAGAACCCGTAGAACCCTTCCGAATGTCCTGTAAATCATAGCTCCACCTCCTCATTGACGTCATTTCTGTCATTTAGTCAACGGCCATGCTGTGGCCATTCTCCATGTCCCGGAACCATCCAATCATTTGATACCAGGTCAGGCGAATTTGTTGGATGTGCTTGGATTTAATGCCCACATCATGCTGTTCCCTCAATCGCAGCTCAGGCCGAATGAGCAGGGGCATTTCAAGGAGGAGGCAGGCGTCTTCCTTTGGCCTTTTTGCGGCGATTTTTTTATTATAAATTTAGTCCGAACCTTTTGATGGGAAGGATTCACAAGGACAGAGCCACCGCTAAGCAAAGCTTGTTGCGATGACCCTGCCCTCTACCCTCCGATCGCGCAATTCCGGTGCTATGGCAGAATTTAGAGTCCAAAGTTTAAAGGGAGATTATGACCTTTTTCCACAAAATCTGAGTTAGGACCATTTTCTGACAAAACACAACAAGTTATAATGTAAATTAAAACCATTTTGCTCAATTCGGTACCTTGCCGCAAATATCTCAACTTGAAGTCACGTTAGGGGAGCGCTGAAAATGACCGTTGAATAAGTACTTATATCACTTTTTGGTACTTGCATGTAATTTTGTAAAATGAGCGTATTCATTACATTTGATCTTCATCACATCTAGTTAGTTAATGGTCGTCTATAGTGCCTTCAAAAGATATTCATGGTTTGGGGGTGGTTTATGTCTAAATTTACGCAACTATTTTTCCTGTTCATCATCTGTCGCCATATGCTGCTATTTTAGTAGCAACGACTCAATTTTGAATCGGTCCCGCCGACTGCACAATAAAAGAAGATAGATACAACACTTTTGCGGCATCACTGAAAAACTTATGCAGTACTGTTATCAAAATTCACATAACACCGTTCGACAAACCTGAAGTCTTTTTGAAATAAATATGCTTGTATTTTTCGCTTCAGGCTCTGAGGCCAAAATAATGAATTTCGTAGTCGCAATCGCAAGATTTGGCTGCGTTTCTGGCGCTTGCCGTTCATTTGTGGCGCAAAATAATACTTGGAAACAAAGAAGAGTAGGCACTATGTACCCCCGAATTAGAATCTAATTAATTCTAAACCGAATTAACTCTAATTCAAATTAGAATCCTTACAACCAAGCAACGACAAGGCGATAACATAAACAAAAACCCAAGCGTCGCTGTTTGAAACAAAAGCGCCATATACTGCGACTTTTTTATAGAGAAGGACAACGCATTTCGGTGGGTGTTACAAGTACTGCAAGTACTGCTTCTTTTTTGCAAAAATGAAAACCTTTTTCACATACGAAAATGTGCTAGGAAATTTTCATATTTTATAGAAACTACAGTAGAAATAGTATAGATGTCGAGTAATTTTTATTTAAGAAAAAAGAAAGCTCATTATCTCCCTTTAACGTGCGCACAAAGCCGCGCACGGCCGGTCCCCTCGCTGACTTCGCCTGGCTACGGCCTGCCACCAACCGCAACCATACCTGTCAGGAGGCCCATAAATGTCTAGCGCCCGTCGCGCTTCGAACCCGAACTGTCATAACCGGGGACGCGTGCTCTCACCACGCGGAGTCCAACGCTCTAATCGATTTTGCTCGAAGGCATATCGCAGCCTCATCAAAAGTGTGCAATAGCACGTGCTTATTATTATCCAACCCTCGTAAAGACAGTCCAGTCCTTAATGACTACCCTACACCAGACCCAGAACACTGACAGCATTGGCTTTCCATATCGGCTTCTGCATCTTCACCCTTAAAGAAGGGTAGATGTGCTTTGCTACAACTTCTCGATCATCTCTTTTGCTCTGGATCATACATATACACTTGATCAGATTCTATCGACCGCTTCCATCCACCCGTCCAGCGACACCACTGCCACTGCATTTTATGTCAGTGGCACGGCAGGCATGACACGGCGTTACAGAAGATGAGAGTGACACTGATGTCCGCAGCCAGCGTCGGCGGGTCAGCTGGGGAGGGAGGGGGGAGGGGGGGGGGGGGTGGGGGGGTCGTCGGCGGGTCAGCTATCCGAGAGGCGGTGTCGGTGCGGAGGGGGGGGGGGTCGATGGCAGATGTGCGCGCGCTGGCAGACGGCGCGCGCCGGACGGCCGCCGACGCCGACGCCGCGCCCAGTCGTACGGCCGAGCGTGCAGAGGAGGGACGGTGCGCCGGAGATGGCAGCCCACGTCCTGCGCGGCAGCCGAGTGGTGCAGCAGCTGGTGCGACAGCGGCGTGCGGCGGCGGTGGCAGGCGGCGGCGGCGGCGGCGGCGTGCCGGCGCCGGCCGCCGCGCTCGCCGGCCGCGCCAAGTCCACACAGGCCACAGAGCTGACCGCCGAGGCCGCCAAGCTTGGTCCGCAGCGCGACCAGCTCGACCTGACGTTCACCGACACGCGCGCCGCCTTCCAGAGCAAGACCACCTGGGAGGTGTTCCGCGGCGTGCTGGTGTACACGCTGTGCACCTCGCGCTACCTGGTGGAGCACAACGCTACGGTGAGGCCGGTGCCGCGGCCGGCCCCGGCTCCCAGACTCGGCCGGCCGGCCGCTGGCTGGGCTGGGGTGGGACACGAACCGGGCTGGGGTGGGACCGTGGGACACGAACCGGGCTGGGGTGGGACACGAACCGGGCTGGGGTGGGACTGTGGGACACGAACCGGGCTGGGGTGGGACACGAACCGGGATGGGGTGGGACCGTGGGACACGAACCGGGCTGGGGGAGGGGGGGGGGGGGTGGGACCGTGGGACCCGCACCGACGGTCCAAATGGGACGCCACAGTCGAGGCGGTCTTACGGCATGGGCGCACCGAAATTGACGGCGCAAATGATGGCTCACTATGAAACAGTGGTGATGTTATCTGGTGATTTCCCTGATAATTTGAAAACGGTCACAAACTCACCATTGGCCGTCTCAACTCATCATTGAACCTTCGCTCCGTTGGGGAGGGAAGGGGGGAATATGCCCCCCTCCCTGTGGGTTTACTTGAATAGCAAGAAAACGGCGATCGCACTGTCGTTACTATAGACAGTAGAAGAGATACTAGTAGACGTCCCCATGCGCCGCGAGGTGACCGCAAACGGAATACTCGGTTTCTCGTGGGCTTCAAAAGGTCTATTGAGGCCAAACCAGGTGTCTCAATGCGCAAGCTAGCGCGAGACCGAAGGGTGAGCAACAGCACCATTGGCAGGGCTGTCAAGGAGAACCTTGGAATGAGGTCCTATAGAAACAAATTTCAGCACCCTGGGCCCAATCCTATACCAATGCCGTTAATAGGATTTGGCAGCACTGGCCGGAGTAAACGCCACTGGTATCAAAGATATCCTTTTTATTTACATTCAGCTGATGTCCAATGATTTTGATAGCGTGAATGATTATGAATGTTGCTTGAACGAAAGAATAAATGAATGTGGAATAGTTCAGAATGTTCGCAAATGCCGTGAACGCGCATTCACGGCATTTGGTGAGATTGGTCCCTGGACAGTAGTTTACCCAGTACCAAATAGCGTGCGTCGAGTACCGAGAAATATGCGTGGCCGATTATTTGCCGGCTATCCCTCCGACTGCCAGCGTGTCAGCTGTGAACTAGACGGGCGCCCGGCTGCCATACGGCACTGGTACATACAGTCCGGAGGTCAGCGGGCCGTCACGCGCTGACTCAGTGCCGACCGGCCCGCTGCGCGCTGCTGCTGGTGTCCGGTTACGAGTGCAGGCCCGGTGACACGATCGGCCTCCCTCCGCCTCTTCACGGAACAAACAACCAGTCGCAACAGAAACCGTCTCATACGAAATGTCTACAAACTGACCTTGTGTAGGGGAAGTTGGGGCAATGCCGGAGTTGGGGCAAAGCCGAAATTCGAGATATTTCGAAAACCGTAAGACATGGATGCCACCTGTCAGTGATGCTCTGAAGCTTAAGTGACTACAATTATCGCATGTTTGTTACGAGTCGTCATTCGGAACACTTCGGCTGTGAGGGCGCCAAGAGCGTTTTCAAGGTACGCGTTCCTTGTACTACATGCGCCTTTGAAGCTGCATTTCTTACTCATTATGCTACCGTTTGTCTGGCCAATTCGGTCAAGTAATCTTCAGCATGTCTTTGCATAAGTGTGCTGCCTATTTGAAATTTATACGGCACGTTGAAAAGTTATGGGCCTGCAAATGAAAGTATGGCTGGCTGGGGTAATGCCGAAAACGTGCAATTACGCACGCTAAAGCACGCTACGTGGACTTTACTGCTGTAGAATAGCAACGCGAATTTTTAGTCACACAAATTACACTTTCAACCGACACAACGGCCTGTTACCTATAAGGAATTATTTACCTGGCATTTTCTTATTATATCACACAATTATAACTTCCAGTGTGCACCAAGCGTCCTCAAACTCTTAAAACGCGTGTCAGCTTTGATAAATTCTGGATAAAGTTTGAGATAAAGTGGCAAAACATCAATGTCGGCATTCCCCGTAGATCATTTCTCCCATTTTCGGCTTTCCCCGCAGTCCGGGGCAACGCCGAAAAAGTCACTTCTTTGATATTTTTAGTTTGTGCGCTTAACGGTATGCGAATTCATCAAATGCGCCTGCTATGTTTGAAAGGCAAAAGACTGGCCTCTCGAATGACGCCAACAAGAATAGCTTATGTTGTCTACCTTGCGTGCTACGGTTGTCAGAAAAAAGTATTCGGCGTTCCCCCAACTTCCCCTATGGCCAACAAATAATAGCTGTTTTTGTGACGGCTATCTGGTACACATTTGGTTCACATTTCGTGCAGATTTGCAGCTGGTTATTCACTCTATTTACATTGACCCAATAAGGTTGGGAAACGGCAGAACCTTCTGACGGAGCGTTGACAGCGTTACGCAACGCACGTGTCCATAACAGCATCTCGAGCCTCAAGAAGGCAGGCAGCAGCGTCGATCCTATGGAGGCCCAGCGCGCGAGCGGCGCGTACCGACGCCGCCTGGCCGAGCGACGGTGAAGGAGGCTCATGCGTGGCCACATCTAGATAACATGTGGGTCAACATAGCTACCATGCGTCCCAATAAAAGTATACTCAGCTAAACTGTGAATAACTCCTGCAATGGTCAGCAGAAATACTCGAATGACACACCAGTTAACTCCCCGTGACATGGCAAAACTAATGAATCAAAATATAGTTTTCACCTGCACTCCGCAATTAACTCTATGTACTCAGAGGAGGCGCTCAAAGTAACAGCCCGTGCACCACATCACCACGGGTAGATGCATGGTATTCTGGTGCATTGGCATCAGTTGTGAATTAATCCGGCAGGCGGTGGGCCTCTCGGCCACCTTCCGCGCGGGGGGCATTTTTTGCCCCCCCCGTATCTCCGGAACTACTGGACGGATCCGTAAAATTCAAACGACGTTCGATAGCCCTGTCAAATTTGTCGAAGGAAACCAAATTTCATTGATCTCGGGGTCACCGATGACGTCACAGGTCAGGTCAAAGATAAAATGTTTCACCGTTCCCAGGTCTTCTAGGGAACGCGCTATAACATCGAGTAAAACGCATTTTGTCGAAAATCAGCGATAGGGCGTCAGTTGCCTAGTACAATTGCTATTAGAGGTCACTGATGATACCAGGTCAGGTCACCAAGGGTCAGCACATGAACTCAACTTTACTAGGGTTGTGCGATGCATGTTTTATGGCCAATTTTTCATTTCCAACTCAATGACGTTGTTTATAAGACCATCAGGTACGGTTTAGGTCACGTTCTTGTGAAGGTCAGGTCAAGGTCAGGTCAAAAAGTTCAAATTTCGAAGTTGATAGTTTTGCATAAAATGAGTATTAATTCGATGAAGATCGTCACGGGAAGTCTTATGGTGGTCTTTTTTGCGCTACGTAGTCTAGAATTGCTAAAAATTGAGTTTGAAAATTTGACGTCATCAATTTTGAACAGTTTTTTTTTCGCTATAACTTGGCCAAAAAAGAGGTCTCGATCTCAAATTTGGTACGTGGATAGAAGGCGGTAGGGACTACCACATTCCGTTTTTTTCGAAAATCAAAAACTTTTTGGATTTTTGACTATTATATTCATTTTTTTTATTTTTGGGGTCAAAATCAAGAAACAAAATCCGATATCGCAGTTGTATAGCTCTGTTAATTTTACACCTTTTATGTCTAAAACAATTTCCTGTATATCTCTAAAGCTGTAGGCCTGACAGATCTTCCCGCGAAACTTTGTTTTGGGTCGAAAATGGTAGAAACGACATCGCTCCGACGTCATTAGCGGCCAACCTATCAAAGTCTTTGGAAAAAAATGGTCGCAATGTGTAAATGCTATTCACGGGAGGGTAGGTACTGACAGTTTGGTGACGATCGGCGCAGGGGTTTTGGAGATGTATAAAAAAACTAAAGGGGGGGGGCAAAATATCCTCTCCCATTGCCTGGAAGGTTAAGCTTAAATTAAGCAACGAACTCCCGTTATTTAGCATGCGTGATTTTTGTGCATATGATGGCAATTACCATCCTCTTCTAAGGGGGAGCAAGCGGTGCGGGCCATGCCCCTCCGGAAGACCCGATTATCGGTCCGCCGCACCAATGGCAGTGCATGGAAACACATCCGTATACTGCCATTCGATACGCGCATTCGACCAGGGTATGTAGGGACGTCTGGTACACGACGCGGAAAGCGTCCATTTTATCTGGATGACTTACATGGTAGGTTATTTTTCTTTTGCTTATAAAAATTATGATATTGAATCGTGTCGAAATCAGTCAATGTTATATTTTTATAATTATTTGTACTAGAAATTGGAAAATACTTCCTACTGACCCTGGTTTAGAAGTTGGGGCATTCCACGATAGATCGTACCACTTTTTTTCCAATTTGACACCCTCATCTCTCGGAACTTGACGAGAATCGGTCTCAGGGGTAATCAGGGGCTCTGAATCCACCTGTAACAATTTCAGGCTTATCAGATGAGTATTTTTTGAGTTATGGTGTATAACATTTTTTGGATCTTGCTTTGCAGCGCTAAGTTTGGCGGGCTGTAACTCTAAGACGGATTATTCAAATGCCAAATGTTATATAACATTGAACTTGCAATGAAACAGAGATAAATATGTATTTTTGAAATTTCGAAAAATACGCTATTTTTGATATATGACATATCGAGTTTTCTTTCATTTGTATTTTTTGGACTTTTGGACCAAATTTTTTTGAATTTTTATTTCTTTAAAAAAATGTTTGGCTCATTGTTAAGAAGTATGCAAAAAATTAGGAAGTTGTTCTTTCTATAAATGTATTTATTTTACGTCACGATAACGGTTTCGAATAGTGATTTCGGGAGAGGAGCTTACAAATGGCGTGGTAAAGCTGCCTAGTGACATCACGGGTTACTGAAATTTCAATTCAAGTCTGAGTCATCTGAAAAAAAGTGAAAAGAGGGTTCATTCAACCCTCTTTCCTATAAGCGCGAGGGTGAAAAAGGCTGTTTGGTTCTGACATTGTTTTGGACGCCAATGACCATAG